TAATTTATTTTAGCTATCTTAACTTTTGTATTGTATGTATTTTAATTTTGGCTGTTCGTCGCCTTGAGTCCCTTTTGGGAGAAGGGCGGTATACAAATTCAATTAATAAAAATAAAATTAATAAAATAAAACTCAGAGAATAATATAATTATTTTTTGTGTGTGATACCACTGATTAGAAGTGGAGTAATTTTCTGTTTTCTTCTAGCTAAAGCACTAGATCAGGGGTGTCCAGCCTTGGCAACTTTAAGATCTATGGACTTCAACACCCAACACCCTGTCTGGGGAATTCTGGGAGTTGAAGTCCACAAGTTTTAAAGTTGCCACAGCTGGATAACCCTACACTAGCTCATCCTTTTAGATTTATTGTGTATCTTATTCAGGACGGGTGAGGGAGATTCCCAAGTCCGTTAGAGTCACACTGTTTTTCTCAATCTTTAATACATCTTGTTCCCTTCCTATTTTCTGGATTGCATTGGCAGCTGGCAAGTCTTTTTCCAACGTTATGATCCTCAGTGCCAAATACTGATGCTAAAGGACTTTTTCGGTCCTTTAAGCAAGTTGAAAATATTTCTTTGGGTTTTGTATTCTCTTTGGAATCTCCATATGGTTTCAAATTGGCAGTAGGTACAATAAAACAATCTGGAAAGATTAAAACAGGAAAATCCCCAGCCTTGTTATGTCCTATTGACGTCACTTGCCTAAGGAGGGCTAAGCAGCTGGCTTGAGTTCTTCCTGCATCTTTCTGTGTCAAAATTCTGTGACAAATTCGTTTGTGGTCTGCATAGGGTTTCTTGTGTCCTTAATCAGCAAACCACTGAATTATCTTTTTTCTTGTCTTTCAATTCCCATCAGGCAACTGCAGTTGGCAGCAGAAGGATATTCAAATGAAAGAACCCACAACTTATTTAAGAGCAGGATGCTGCTGATATTTTTTGCACTGTCTTCTGCTAGGATGATAGGAATTAATGATCTGCTCTAGCAGTTCTGAAAAAGCTTCTCCTCCAAATGAAATGATTTCAAGGTGGGGGGGGGAATCCCAAGAAAATCCAGTTGCCTTTTGGAAAAACACCTTTGAGAAGAATAGAATAGAATAGAATAGAATAGAATAGAATAGAATAGAATAGAATACTTTTGTGTGGTTAGACCGTACAGACCTTTATTTAGCTGACCATTTCCATTTAATAATACATAGTTCAAAAGAATATGGGCATTTAAAAATATTAAACCTAGTCTCCGGGTAAAATTAGTTTATAGTTACTGCTTCTCAGACCATAAGTAGTTGAGGCTATAGCAAAAACATGTTTTAATGAAGCATTATTCTCATTGCAACTTCAATAAGACAATGATTCACTCACTATTACACAAGGCGAGGCCTACCTAATATGTTATTGTAAACACAGCTAAGATTCCAACAATGGCTACCTCTAACTGAAAATAATTGTTCCTGGCTGGGTATATATATATTTGGATTCTATTGTACTATCACTGAATTGATATTAGCAATGTTATGAATATTTTTGTTTTATTTTTTTTAATTTAAATAATCAGATTATATTTAGTGAATCTATTTACTTTTGTTAGGGTTACTATCTACTTCTGCTGTGTTGGTTTACTTCAAAGAATTTCAGCATATTTTGGAGCTGCATGTTGAAATAATGGACCTATTTTTATTATTCATCAAAACCAAAACTGGAATGATGACTACACATCTTAAATCGCTCCTCTGAATGCAATCAAAATCATTCTGGAGGACATCACTAAAGGAACGTCCAGTCTACCTGCTTGGCCCATTTGGGCTATGGAACCAGAGGTGAAGCTTTTTTTCCACTTTCTTAACACTTGGCTTTGGGACTTCCCATTATCTGTAGGCCAACAACCCTAGAGAGAGCAAGAGGATGAGACTTTGAAACCACATTCCACCTAGCCCACAGAATCTATTGGGAAATTGAATCTGCTTCTTGGGGCACTTTCAGATCATTTTTACAAAACAGTTTTCTTCCAAGATAGCAAGCAGTCTGCCTACATGAAGAGACAAAAGGACATGAAACCTATACGTCAAAGCTGGACCAGGCAAAAGCAATATTAAGCAATGAAGAGAGAGAAGGAAAATTTTAATATTAAAGAATTAACAGGAGGTTTGCCACAAGGTGGCAGAAATGGCTAACTCGGGATTGAAATAACTAATTCTCACTGAAATAATACTAAGAAGGTCTTAATCAGCAAAACAGAACATGCATACCAAATGACATTCCTTCACTAAGGATTTTTAGGCCCTTTTCAGGCTTTAAGAATAAAAATAAGGAGAGCACTTTGTGGTCAAGGAGTTCACAATACTTTTGCAGGAAACCTGATAATTTAATAATAATGGCTGCTGTTGAGCTTACTCTCTGTTAAAGAATTCCATAGGATTAAAAACTGTCCTTCTGAAGTTCTTTAATCATTGTGCTCTCTAATAAAATCTAATTATACAGCTGATGCGGGGAAAGGGGAAAAACACATCAGTCAGAAGCAGTGGTGAAATCCATTTTTTTTTACTACTGGTTCTGTGGGCGTGGCTTGGTGGGCGTGGCAGGGGAAGGATACTGCAAAATCTCCATTCCCACCCCACTCCTGGGGGAAGGATATTGCAAAATCTCCATTCCCACCCCACTCTGGGGCCAGCCAGAGGTGGCATTTGCTGGTTCTCCGAACTACTCAAAATTTCCGCTACCGGTTCTCAGAACTGCTCAAAATTTCCGCTACCGGTTCCACAGAACCTGTCAGAACTTGCTGGATTTCACCCCTGGTCAGAAGGTACCTGTGTTAGATGCATTTGGTTAAAAGAGCTGCAATTCATGAAAGCTTCTGCCTTTTATAAATTTTGTTAATGAAAAAAGGTGCTAACAGACTCCTGTATTTTTTTTTTATTTCTGGCTGCTTTAGATTAACATGGGTCTCATCCTACATTGTTGCCATGTCAAACATTGGAACCTTCTTTCACTCTTCCCAGAAGAATTAGCCTTCCTTCAAAGAAACTATGCCTGTGTCTATGCATAAGAAAAAGGGAAAGCACACAGAAAGACAGGGATTTTCATCAAGCTTCCTCAACCTCTGCTTAATTAAGAGCAGAGTCATTAGGGGGCATCTAAATTTAATGAATAACAAAGAACAATACAGATTAGCATGTACTATTGCTCATTTTACAAAACTGCGCAATGTGGCAGCAATGTCAAGATCCCATCGTTTCTTTTCGTTCTTCATTTATTGTCTTTTTTTTTTTTTCTTTTTTGCAAATAAAGTGTGGTTGATTTTATTCCAGGCAGTTAGAAATAGGAGGAGGAAAGCTACAGAATTCAGTTTGTGAGCATGGAATTGTCTACCAGATGTGGCATGAGTTGTGCTTTGGCAAATGTCTTGATTGCAGTACCAGGACTGTTATGTCTACATTTAGGTTAACATGACACCACTACCTGCAAAGAGCACAAAGGATTGCTGAGTATTGAGAAATGTTTCCCTTCTTCTTTGTCTGCCTCTTTGACAGGAAGGGAAATGGGAAGTGATGAAAGTTTGGCCTCTACAAGATGGCCTGGGAACAATGCCAAACATCTTTTTTCTTCACAAACCCACAACGTGACTCACAGATCATGTTAAGCCAACCTGGATTCATGACTCATACTAAGTCATTCTTTGATTTGCTTGTTTTGTGGTTTACTGCAATCTGTGTTCAATTGTCATTTATTCAGTAATTGTGGTGAAACGCATCGTGCCTTCGTATAATGTGTCGAACTGAATGGAATGATCAGATATGTATTAAAATGCACATTCCGAACCCCTCAAATGAATCTGTCAGAATGACAGCTGAAGGGTTAATTGTGCAATCGGTGACAGTGAAACCAATTGAAGCTTTAAATGCAACAGAAATGGGAGAAGATATAGATCACTGGATATGCAAGAGGAAGCAGTGATGTGGTGCCAGGGGGAAGCATGGGAGCAATGTGGCTTTCAGAGCGAATGTAACAGCTGCTGCAACATCCAAATCATTCAGGGATTTGCTATGCTCTCAAGTGAATCAAGTGAAAATGCAATTTTTGTAGTCATTTACAGGAAGGCAGAAAAAGAGACGAGTAATGAAATGGGATCAACATATTTCTTTCCTTTTGATTTTCTAGCTTCAACACTAGAGTGTTCAACACTGAACTAGAGTTCAGTGGGAATAATTATTGGAATTTTCAAAATAAGTTTCACTTGGCTGAAAGAGCTCCCATGAAATTATCCAGAAGTAATACCCCATGAGTTTGGTGGAGCTTATTTTGAGATAATTTTGCCATCCTGGTTCTCCTTATCTGGTTTTTTATGTCATGAATTGATGTTCTTTGAGAGGGATTATGTAGGGTATCCAATTCCATATGGTGCTAATCCTTGGGGTGTGAAACACACCAAGATCCCATATCCTAAAGGCCTTTGATCACCTTCCAGGTGATTAAAATACAAAAAATGATATCATTTCTCTAATGCTTTGGTCTGGTCATGTACTATGATATACTGTAGTGTAGCCTCACTTTCTTTAAAAAATAACATGCTATTAAAAACAGAAAAGACAGATTGTAAAACCTCTTTTTAACCTTAAAATGCAGATTTCCGAGGCTGAAGAAGATGAATGACCAAACTGTCTAAAAAAATTAAAATAGAACATAATAGTCTGGACAGACCACAAGATGGCATTTTTCTGCTACAAATTGTTTTTTCCTTGCCCGAATCTGTGGGAAGATGCTGGAGAAGCATCAAGTTGTTAGAGATTATAATTTCTAAAAAGAAAAATCTAAATTTCCAAATGCAAGCTGAGCTTACACACTGTTCCTAATTAGTACAGGGAAATAAGGACATTGGCCAATGAGGCTGCAGTACAATATAGAAAGCAAAAAAAATCATAATATCTCATGCAGACTCCTGACTAGAGGTTTTACCTACGTCTACTGAAAGAACCGTCTTCTGCAGCAAAAGTTCATCTGCTTTATTTACCTGGACTTTCTTCAGATTCTTGGAAACTTGGAACTTAGCTTGGATGCTGTGAGAAATGATGGCTAATAATGTCCTCCAGAATGTTTTTCTTCGTTGGAAGAGAACCAAACTTCTTGTGTTGTCTGCAGAGAGAAAAGCTGGGTAACCTGACACTGTTCACGGCCAAGATCTACATATTCTGGCTGAATCTGCAATCTACAATCTAGTAAGAAAGCCACAATCACAATACAAACATTGCCAGATATGATTATTAAGATAGGGAGGAAGGGCAGTAACTCAGACACATTTCTGATGGACTTTATTGTTCAGAATCAGTTTGATATTTGAGAATCAATCAAGACTCATCTCCTCTGGGTCACCCCAATACAGAGATCCCTGAACGTCTTTTATCTGTCACTATTTGTAACAAGGGAACTGCGAGTACCCTGCCTACAGCTTACAAATAAGCCGTATTGCTTAATACAAGGCATCTGTATTGTTTATTTTTGTTAGTATGTCTTGTGGTTATATGGCTGCTTGCTGACTGGGCAGCTGTACAAATAAAATCAAATAAACATTCAGCAATTTTGTGTGTGCACCTTTGAGTTTGTATTGTCTCCTGGCAATTGTCTGGATTCGTCCCTGCAATTTTTTTCGGCAAGATTTCCAGAAGTGATTTACCATTGTCTTCTTCCTAGGGCTAAGAGAGAGGACCTGGCTTAAGGTCACAAACTTGGCTTTGTACCTAAAGCAAATTCAGCCCTCCCGAGCTCTGTTTTTGCTGGCAGAGGGTTGCAGGAGGCTGTCCCAGCCAAAAACGGAGATTGGGAGCCCGCTTTTTCTGGCAGAGGCACTGCAGGCCAGTCCTTCGCTGTTTCCAGGGCAGCCCCGCAGGCCAGATCTAAGCACCCCACAGGCCGGCTCTGGCCCACATTTGACACCCCTGACTTAAACAAATTCCAACACTGGGACGCTATCTCCTCTACACTAAATTTTTCATCTTGGCCTGAGTAAAGCAGCAATCACTTTCATGTTGTACTGGACCAAATATGGTTGTGTGGATTATTCCTTAGGATATGCTAGATAAACTCTGAGATCTGACCTGATTCAGTGCCTGGATTTACACAATGTGTTTCGCCCTAATTAGCCAAATACATTCAGTTGTATTTAATTGCTGGTGTTTCCATGAGCAAATGTTCCTCAACTTTTGTTTACATTAACAATCCTTATCTATTGAATTTCTTTGCTGCCCATCTGATAATGAAATGACTCTAGGCAGCTTCCAGCATTAAAACATTAAAATCCTAATAAATATCTTTAATAAAAATTGAAATCCTAATCAAGATATAATATAGCTAAAAGATGGGGAGGGTGGGAACACGATGTCCAAGGGTAGGGGGCAGGGAGGTGAGATTGCCTTTTAATTCAACAATCACCTCCAATGTAAGCCTCTCCCATTAAGGCCTCAAGCCATCTGGCAGAGCCAGGTCTTCAGGTTCCTGTGGAAAGACAAAAGGGTGGGAGCCAATCTCACCTCAGGGGGTAAGATGTTCCTGAGGGCAGGAACCACAGCAGAGAAGGCCCGTCTCCTGGACTCTGCCAGCTGGAATTCCTTGACAAACAAGGCCTGCAGCATGCCTCTCCTGCCAGCGCAGGTGAGACAATTCCTTAAGTAGCCTGGATCCATGCTATGCAGGGCTTTAAAAGTAATAACCAACATCTTGAATTGCAGCTAGAAGCAGACTGGCAGCCAATGCAGCTTGCAGAGCAGTGGTGTAATATGGATCATTTTAGGGACCCCAAGAAGTGCCAGCACTGCTGCAGTCTGCACCAGTTGAAGCTTCTGAATGCTCTTCAAGAGTAGCCCCATATAGAGCAGTAGTCTAGATTTAAGATGACCAGGGCTTGAATCAGGGCCGGATTTAGATGAAAAGAGGCCCTAAGCTATTCCACTTATGAGGCCCTTTCACCTATAGTGAAAGTGTAATTTTAATTTTGCTAATAATTTGAATGTAGGCCCCTCTTGATCTTGAGGCCCTAGGCTGAAGCCTAGTTAGCCTATAGGAAAATCCGGCCCTGGCTTGAATGACTGAGGAAGGGACTCCTGATCCAGGAAAGGCTGCAACTGGTGCACCAGCTGAAGTGGTGCAAAGGCTCTCCTAGCTAAGGCTGCCATCTGCTCTTCGAGCAGGAGTCGTGAGTCTAGGAGAATCCCCAAGTGGCGAACAGGATCTGTCTGGGGTAGTGCAACCCTATCCAAAGATAAGTTGGTTAAAGTCCCAGATCTTTAAGCTCCATGCACCCAAAGCCATTTGGATCTTCCCAGGGTTCAGCTGAAGCCTGATATCTCCCATCCAGGCCCCGTCAGCCTCCAGGCACTGGGAGAGTGTGGCAATAGCATCATTTGGATCATAAGGGCTGGAAATATAAAGTTGAGTATCATTAGCGTACTGGTTATCATCCTCAATCCTCACCTCAACCCCTGGTGATGAATGATCTCACCCAGAGGCTTCATGTAGATGTTAAAAAGGAGTGGAGAGAGTACCAGGTCCTGCAGCTACCACAAAGAAGCGACCATGGACTGAACCTCTCACTCCTTATCCACACCGATTGAGACCTGCCTTGGAGAAAGGAACCAAACCAATGCAAAACTGTGCTGTCCAGCCCCAAACCCTCAGCCAACCCAAAAGGATATCATGGGTGATGGTATCAAAGGTTGGTGAGAGATCAAGGAAAGTAAGGATGGTTGCACTACCTCCATTCCACTCTGGCCAGAGATCATCAACAAGTACGATCAGTGCATTACTGTGGATTAATTAATTAATCCATGGTCCATGGTGTCACTAGTGACTCTCTCCAAAAGTATCGTATGCATATCTTCCATCTCAGTGGTTTTCAGCATCATGTTCTTACAACCATATGTTACCATTGAAAAAACCATTGCTTTAACAACTCTGATGTTGTCATTTAAATATCATTATCCTTCATGAACTTATCTGCATTTTTCCGCTGTAGTTACTCTGATCTTCTTTTTTTTAAAAATACTTTTCTTGTTTTTTTGATATTCCTCTATAGATTATCTTTATGGAGATGCAGTGTGTTTCTTGGATTTTCTTGATTGATGTTAGAAATCAATGTTCAGCTGTTGTACCTTTTGTTGCTCAAAGCTTTCATCCCACATCTTTCTTTGGTTGTTACGCTAGCATGCAGTGTAAGTCCCATGAATATTTTTCTCATGTTGAGAATATATATAGTTTTTCCACTTTGGTTTAACAGCCATTCTTTGCTCTCCTTTAGCTCCGCAAATTCTCATTCTTAAATATTGTAGACCGAATCTGTTCCTTACACTGATTCTACATTCTGATTGTATGCCCTTGGTCTTTTCTGAGCTTGGTTGTTTGCTTGCAGATTTTTTATTATCTGACTAAGTGCTAGAAGGGAGTGGGATTTGCTCTATGTTTATATAATAGCTTGCCCTGTCAGTGCTGATGGGGATATTGTTTTCTCCTTGTTAGTTCCTTGAGTAAGGTATTATTTACTGCTTGACTGTTTATCTGGTATTAATTCTGGTGCTAATCTCTGTTTATCCAGGTGTTGATTCCTGGCAATGAGGTGTTTTGGTATTTTTGTTTCTGTCTTGGCTTTTTATTCTCTTTGCTCTGCAATGGTATGAAAATGTGGTTTATCTCTATGTGCCTGCTTTTGGCTGATTTTTCTGAATAACAAGCTTCCAGAAAATTCTCTCATGTTTTTGGATTTAGTTTGATCTAGGATCAGGAGTGAAATGCTACCGGTTTGGAACGGATCGCCTGATTTGGTAGCGATGACGGGGGTGGTGGTTCGGAAAACCGGTAGCAAAAATCCCTGTGCCCCCCTCCACCATGCCCAGCTGAGCTGCACGATCATCAGAGGTTTTTTTTTTACTTTTAAAAGCATTTTTTCTACAATTTCTTCCGCCGAAAAAAAATGCTTTTAAAAGTAAAAAAAAAAGCTTGTGATGATCGCGCGGCTCAGCTGAGATCTCAGAGGCTTTTCAAAAAAAAATTTTCTGCAACCTCTTCTGGGGAAGAGGTGGTTTAAAAAATGCTTTGAAAAGGCTCTGACGATCAGGCAACACAGCTGGGATCGTCAGAGCCTTTTCAAAGCATTTTTTAAACCACTTCTTCCCCGGAAGAGGTTACAGGAAAAAATGCTTTAAAAGTCTCTCTGACGTTCCCAGCTAAGTTGCCTGATCGTCAGAGAGACTTTTCAAAGCATTTTTTAAAACAATCAGGCAACTCAGCTGGGATCATCAGAGAGACTTTTAAATCATTTTTTTCTGCAACCTCTTCAGTGGAAGAGGTGGTTTAAAAAATGCTTTGAAAAGGCTCTGACGATCCCAGCTGTGTTCCTGATCGGCAGAGGCTTTTCAAAGCATTTTTTTTGCATTTGCAGAAAAAATGCTTTGAAAAGTTATAATTAAAAAAAAAAGTTGGCCACGCCCACCCGGTCACATTACCTCCTACCACTAAGCCACGCCCACAGAACCGGTAGTAACAAATTTTACATTTCACCCCTGTCTAGGATGCTCACACTTTCTTATAGTTGAACTATGATTAAGTCTATTTAAGTGTTGTAAGATTAAGGAGTTTTCATTGTGTCTTCAGACTGCTAGATGGTGTTTATGGATGTGCTCTGCTAATCTTCTGCCTGCCTGTCCTAGGTAGTAGTTGTTATAGTCCTTACATTGCACATTGTAGATGAGTCCTGTTTTTTCTTCTTGAGCTGCTGTGTCTTTTTGTGATGTTTTGCAGGGCTTTAGCTGGTTTGTGTGTCACAGTGATGCCATGTGGGTGTCATAATCTCTTGGTTATGGTTATGGCTGTATGGCAGTGATATCCTTTTCACAGCAGTTGCATTGGTTAAGCTTCAGTGGATTGAGTAATCAGGTACTTTTTGATAAAGTTACATGGTTATCTAGTTTGTTGGAAGATGTTGTATACTGTAGGTCAGGGGTAGACCTACAGTATACAACCATGGGCTGGATCTGGCCCGCAGGACACTTAGATCTGGCTCACGGGGCCACCCTGGAAATAGTGAAGGACTGGCCAGCGGTGCCTCTGCCAGCAAAAACGGAGCTCAGAAGGACCACATGTGGCCCTTCCGGTCTCCATTTTTGCTGGCAAAGGACTGTAGGAGGATCCCCCCCAGCCCCACCCGGTCCACTACAGGTGCCTCCTGACATGAGTGATGTCAAGCTGGCCACACCCATCCTGGCCATGCCCATATGACCCCCCCCCCAGGCCAAACACAACCCTAATGCAGCCCTCAATGAAACTGAGTTTGTCATCCCTGCAGTAGGTAGTCTGTTTCCTTTTCCTGGTGTTTTGGGCTGCTGCAGTACGTTTGTACTCGTCTCAGTAATGTTCTTACACAGATCCTCTTGTGGGAGGTTCAGTCATTATTTTGATAATGGAGCACTTGGATAGTGTGGATTGTTTTAGACTTGAGTTTCTAATTTGCTTTCAGTTCCTCTGCTGATGTTTGCTAGATATCCAGGGAGAGTGGTGTGTTCTTGTTTTTCTTTTCCCTTGTGAATTTTATTATTTTGAAGTTGTTCCATGTGTCTTCTCTAGTTATTCTTTTTTATTATGACAAATATGTTCCATCTATCTGTGAAAGCTTCTTCACTGAATCACTGTGTTTCCTATATGCAATCAAATGTATTCCGATATCATAAGTTTACACTAATGTGGCTTGTTACAGACACCATTATTCCAATCACATTTTTTTACTATTACATCCACAACATATCCTATATGTTGTGTTTAGCTCCTGTTGCAATTTAGCAGATATCTCTACAATGGGTTTGCTCACATGCTGATAGTAAAAGTATATGTTTGTATTACTTGGATGTTCGCTAGATATCCATCAATTCTATTACATAAACCTGTTGTTTATTGCGTTCAAGCAGATCATACACTTAACAATATTATTTTTGAGTGGTGAATATACCAAAATTTGTTGGCATCATGCAAACACACCGTACTATAACCCATAGCTAAAAAAAAATACAGTGACTAGTTTTATAACATATAATCTAAGATGAAAACCAAACCATATAATTGGATTGTTTTTGTCATTGCTGGTTATACAAACATTAAGAATGGCAATGATGGACTGATTGATGATTGACTGATTAAGTCAGAGTTAACTCTTAGCAACCACATGCAATAGATTTTCTCCATGACTGGTCTTTCAGATCTTCCAATGGGGCACCCATCATCAATGTAACTGAGTCCATCCAGTTTGCTTCTGGTTGTCCTCTTTTTCCTTCCATCCTTCTCAGTATTAAAACTTTCACTAGAGAGGTAGGTCTTCACATAATTAGGTAATCTAAGAAGGTAATTTTGGCCTCTAATGAAAATTTTGACTTGATTTTTTCAATGATCCATAACTTTCATAAAGCCCCTTTATATTTCTTTTGATTTCTTGAACAGCCATTAGATCTTGCTTGGCAGTGCAAAGGGTTTGTTTCCTTTAGAGAAAGAGTGAAATGAAATTCGAAATCACTGTTGCTGTTTATTGCACTTTATTTTGACCTCATTGAATAATACAAGCTAGTAACATTTGACTGTTGATTTTTATTTGGGTTTAATTTTTAATAAGCCAGAATTCGTTCTTCTTCCATACCTTCTAAAAGAGGGCTATTATGGCATTGTTGGGAGAAAGATGAGACTTTTAAGAGACTTGTAACTGTAAGCAGCTGATAGTGAAGATGCCAACGTTCAGGAATGTAATGACAGACTCACTCAAATGTACTTTAACAGCTTCTGGGTAAAAAAATGGGGGGGGAGGGAAATTATTCTGTATTCCACTAGCTGTAGTCTCAAGAGTTTATCTCACTAATGACCTTACCATAAGTGAATATTCACTGTAGATTAAATGCTACCTAAGGCAGTGAGAAAAGGTTGCCACAGCAACTGTATTCCAAATTCCAGTTGCACATCTAAGGGCTGAGACAAGGATACACCTGAATAGATCCAAAATGAAATTAGGTGAGGTTTTTTTGAATGGTCTCTGTCTGAATTAATCATAGCAATATTTCTCAGCTGCCCACAAGAGCAAAACATGATTGCTGGAAGTAAATTTAGAATTTTTAAAACCAAAACATATGATTAATTGGGTTAAAGATTGTAATTTAGCCAAGTTGTAAAATGACAACCACAATCACTGCAATTATCATCATTTGTTGGACAAATATAAATAGCAATAGCACTTAGAGTTATACACTGCTCTAAGCAGTTTTCAGAGTCAGCATATTGCCCCCAATAATCTGGGTCCTCATTTTACCAATTTTGGAAGAATGGAAGACTGAGTCAACCTTGAGCTGGTCAAGATCGAATTGCTGGCAATCAGCAGAGTTAGCCTGTAATACTGCATTCTAACAACTGCACCACCATGGCTCAGTAGTTGTGGTTCCTACAATACAATATTTTATTTCGTTATGAAATGGATCTGACCGCCAGAAATTAAGTGGATTCTTGGCAGCCTACAGAAAATACATAATAAAAGCAGAATAGAACATTAGAATAAATTAATTAAAATAGTAATTATTTTATAATAGTTTTATTATAGAAAATTACACCACTGTCTACAATTTAGTCCCCAAAGCCTTCCAGAAGGTCTGAAAAGTGGAGACCATCCACACTTCAAGGAGCAAGCTGTTCCAGAAGACAGCTGCAATGGAGCTTGCTCACCATCAAGCTCCCTTATGCCATACCTCCTGGTAAGGAGTGATTTTAGCAGACACTCTAGTATTTGGGTAGACATAAATTCCCTACATTGAATGCCAGGTTCTGAACTATATAAAATTGTAAGGCTTTACAGGTTGTGACCAGAACATTTAAATGCCCTTGGAAACTTCCTAATAAACAGGGCAGCTAATAATGCAGAGGTGTAATATGGCAATGCCACAACTAACCACTGAACATACATGCTGCTGTATTCTGGGCCAGCTGAAATTTCAAGGTGATGTTTGAAGGCAATCCCATGTTTAAATAAAGCATGGCTAAATCAAAGTTTGAACTTGTTATTTTCTGCAATTAATAATGTCTTGGTTACATTGATATTAAAACAAGTCTTTAATCTCTTAGAATGTAAGGACGTTTTATTTTTTATATCCCAGTTTTATTATTTTTTTATAAATAACTCAAGATGGCAAACATACCAAATTCTCTTTCCTCCTATTTTCTCCATCACACTAACCTTCTTAGTGTGTATACTAATGTGTATAGTGTGTATCTTGTGCTACAGATCTAGGAGGAAAATTCCTACTTCATAATATTTCATAAATATTTCTGTTCTGATGATGTCCCTGCCTCCCTTTAAAAAAAAAACAAACCATGGCATTGTGGTCATTACAATAATTCTTGTTTAGCAACTGCAGTTGGGACCAGCAACTTTGTTGTTAATCAAAGTGGTCCTAAATGAATCACATGACAGTGACTGTGCTTATAATTTTACTTCAGCTTCTCTGCTTTACAGCATCAGAAGGATATGACCCCAAACATCCTGATAAAGCCAAACAGTAGGGAAATTTCCAGAATCAACTCACAAGGAAGCCTGGTAAAAGGATGAAATATATAGCCCTTGCTCTCCATTCCCCCACCCTTTGGGATGCTCACCTCATGCTAATTTGCAAGAATTAATGTTTATTTACATTTATTAGATAGGACGGTGTTACAAAAGAGTAAGCAGGCACATACAGCTTGAAAGGAATGTGCTAGTGCCAACTGTCTGCCTAGCACACTCACAGGTGCGAGCTAGGAGTAGCAAACAAAATATGCAAAAAGCCTTTACTGTAAAACTGATTAGAGTCTTATCAATTTCAGGCAGCAACAGTGAACCAGAGTTCTATTCAACTACTTAAGGTCACAGAACTGAGTTTGTAAACTTGCAGTGAGCACTTTTTAAGGATTTACTTTGCTGTGGAGAAAGGTATCTTAGGAAGAGCTAGTTTAGGCAATCTTTTAGTTCTGCTGGACAAAAATGGGTCAAGCACAGGACAGCTGATACTAATTGGCTGTAATGGTGAACTCATGAGAGATTGAAAATTGTAAATGAGGTTGCAAGGCTACTATTTCATCAACATCATAACTGTGAAAAGTTGCTGTACAAGGCAGTCACTAAATGAGGACTACCTGTAAACTAGTTCAAGAAGGCAGGCCATGATACTTAACTCTTGCTTTATGGTTTCTTTTAGTCAAGGGATTTATGATTGTCTGTTGGTTTAGGACGGCTTGGGGATATCACCCATCAGTAAAGAAGCCTTCATTAAAGCAAGCTAACAACACTTGGCGAGATGTTCAAAGGCAGCATGCCAGATGCTTTCAAGAGAAAAATATTTGATACCAAATGCAAAGCTGTCATATGGCTCCTGAATGCAAAGATTTTCAGTTGCAGAAAATTCTGAAAAGTGTTCAGGACTGCACAAAGCAGCTCTTGTTGAAACAGAATAGGTTAGCACTTTGTTGTGACTGCATGGAACTATTTTCTTTGTTCTGTATTGTGTTTCTAGCGTGCCTACTTACCGTTATATTTGTCTCACAAGAAAGCAATTTACTAAGTATTGGGAAAATTTGGTTTTTATTTAGAAAATTATATAGTACAATCTGTTTATTGACTCATTATAGGACAGGAACGGCAAGTGGTGAATAATGCTCTAGAATTTAGTATGAATAAATATTCAGTATTGATAACAAATGTACCCATCATTATCAATCCTTGGTACACTCAGATTGAGTTGATAATGGAGTAAAGTCAATTTTACTGATGCAGAGGTGTTTATTCTTCAATCCCATTGTAATCACAACCCTCCAATGTCTTTAACAGACTTGATTCTGCTACTTCACATCTATTAAAGATGGATAATGGCAACAGGAATGTCAGATCAACAATGTTGAAAGTACATGAACAGCTCTGTAATAGATGTTTCTCTGCAAAGTGAAACAAAACTTCTCCTTGGTTTGCATTGATCATAGAGCAGAATAATCTGTATTCCCGAAACAAAGCTTGAGAAAATGTTGAGCAGAGTCAACCCTGCACCACTAATCATATTCTGCTTGTCTGTAGGGTATGAGACCCAAAGGATTAACTTCAAAAGGCACTGTCGCCAGGTAAAAAGATTGGCAGGATCTCAGTCCAGCTTCCCACGTCTCCATCTTGAATACAGGCTACATCAGTCTTATGTTGCTATGGAAGAAAGCCAAGAAGTAAAGTAATCCCATCAAGATCAAAGCATCTCAGAATCAGATACAGAAGGAGATTAAAATCTTGGATGTCATCTCATCAAAGAAGACAGAGCTTTACGGGGCTAATTTTAATGAACAGTGAACTGTCATTGCTTCATACTTTCTTTTCGGTTTTAAAAGTGGGATTTTCTGAAATAAAATTGTACAGACCATCTAATCTTGACGCACTATCTGAGGTAGCCTTTTAGCATACCATGATGAGCATTGAAGCTCGAATGTGACAGAAGATGCTTGTGTACTTCTAAACCAATGTGTGACTAATCAGACTCCAGTGATAGAAAGGACTGTTGTATGGAATAGACAGAATCTGCATACAGACGGGAGGTTGAACAACTAGCCTTGTGGGTGCAACTGGAACAATCTTGAACTAAACACACTCAAAACCATAGAAATGGTGGTAGATTTTAGGAGAAATCCTCCTATACTACCACCTCTTACAATACTAGACAACACAGTATCAACAGCAGAGGCCTTCAAGTTTCTAGGTTCTATCATATCTCAAGACTTAAAATGGTCACCTAACATCAAAAATGTCATCAAAAAAGCACAACAAAGATTGTTCTTTCTGCACCAACTCAGAAAGCTCAAACTGCCCAAGGAGCTGCTGATTCAGGTCTACAGAGGAAGTACTGAGTCTTTCAGCTGCACCTCTATAACTGTCTGGTTTGACCCTGCAAGCAAACAGGACAAACACAGACACAAGGACAATTTTTTTCCAAATGCCATCACTCTGCTAAATAACTAATTCCCACAACACTGTCAAACTATTTACTAAGACTGTATTACTATTATTCTTCTCATCTTTCCTATTTCCTATCTCTTCTCATTTATGACTATAACCTTGTTGCTTGTATCTCTATGATTTATATTGTTTTATTTGTTTCCCAGTATGATTTGATTGCTTATTTAGTAACTTATGACTATCACCAAGTGTTATATTTTATGATTCTTAATGAATGTATTTTTTTTCTTTCTTTTTATGTACATTGAGAGCATATGCACCAAAGACAAATTCCTTGTGTGTCCAATTATACTTTGCCAATAAAGAATTCTATTCTATTCTATTCTATTCTATTCTATTCTATTCTATTCTATTCTATTCTATTCTATTCTATTCTATTCTATTCTATTCTATTCTAGTTAAGGAATAGCAGGCCAGGAATATTAAAGTAACAAGATAAGAAAATGTGAACTAAACACAACTAATATTAGTTTACACCAACCATTCTAATTGCATCTCCTATCCAAATCATCCATAGATTACCTTTTGTTCTTTATCTTCTCATCTCTCCCTTTTTCAGGATTTTACCAATTGCATCTAATCTTTCCCTTCCTCTCCGATGACTCATTCTTCTTTCATATACTTGCTTGACAGTGAGGTGGACAGCTTATACATTTAATAAATAAAAAAATACTTATTTCATAAACCTGTCTCATTCATGGTCTAGATGACCAACCCACCAAAACATATTTGTTTTGTTCTGCTCACTCATTTTCAATTCAATCTCTATCCATTCCTCACTCTTACATTCTTGGGACCAGGGATGGGCAACTCTGGACTTCAACTCCCAGAATTCCCGAGCCAGTAACTATGGCAACTTTAGAATCTGTGGCTTTAACTCCTAGAATTCCTGTAATTCTTTTAAAAATGCAAATTTCTTCCCAACATGTTGCTTACATACTACCTTTTCACCATTATATTCACATTTCTCCATCCCTTTCCCCATCTCTAGTGAACATTACTAAAATACAGATAGTCCTTGACTTACAATCATTTATTTAATTGCCTCAGAAAAAGTGACTTATAACCTATCCTCTGTGGTCACATGATAACAATTCTGGCACTTGTCAACTGGCTGGCATTTGCGATCGTTGCAGCATCTCGCAGTCACATGATTGCAATTTGTGACCTTCCCAGCTGGCTTCCAACAAGCAAAGTCCATTTGGGGAAGCTGTATTTGCTTAATGATCAGAAAAGGTTGTAAGACTGTGTCCAATGACAGGATTCACTTTAATGACTAAAATTCTAGTCCTAATTGTGGTTCTAAGTCAAGGACTACCTGTATACAAATTCATCTACTTGATCTAGATGAATTGCGTTTTATGTGTAACTTGTAATCATTCGCTCCATGCTCCCTGCCAAACACAATTATCTTGATACATTTATTTTCGGGTCTTTACTCATTGCTGCCTCATACCATGTAACATTCCCTGCCAATCATTTGACTGCTCAGCCAACGGAAGTCCTCATCTGCATACAAAAACACACTTTTATTCATGTCCTCAGTCAATGCACCTCAAATATTATTGGAGGAATTGTTTACACATGTATCCATAAATACATTAAACAACCAAAGGGACAGTGCAAATGACATTCTTGCTTTTCTTCCTGCTTGATGCTGAGCCATTTGCTAAGCATTCTATTTATTCTCATGCATGCATTATTAGTGTGATATACCGCTAATATCACCTACAGAGATCAATCTTCAATTCCGCTTTCATACTAAACCTTCCATGATTCAGGCTTACTAATTTTAACAAAACCATCTACAAATTTACAATAAACTTTCTTTGTCACATTTAAACATTTAATGATTTCCTGAAGAGCAAAAATCTTCTTCTGCTTGGCATATAGCTACATTTTAATTCCCAAGTTTTATCTTACTTTCACCTCTTTCAATTACAATACATAATCTTAGTTAATTAGAATCCAGCCAGTCAACTTTCCAGGCACAGTTAAAGTAATTTCCCTCTGGTTCTTACATTCCTTCTTGCTAGTCCTATTGTTATCCAGGGAAAAATATTGACATTCTTTAAATTACTAGGCATAAATGCATTCCCCAAACATACACATGCAATTAAATTGTTTTTCAGAGCAGCTATATGTATATTTTAATAATAATCCAGTTATACCGTCAACACCTGAAAACTTCATGATCCATCTCGGTTTCACTGTTGGATATATTAACATCATTCCTGTACAGATGACTCTTTCTAGCAACCTCTCACTTCAATTTCATTTTAAAATATTTAGTTCCAGTTTGATGAAAATTTTAAAAGATGAAAGCAGGTGAACAGAGCTAAACAAAAAGTGTCCAGACAAGTGAATGGATTTATTTTTAATCCATTCACTTGGCTGGACATTCTTTGTTTAGCTCTGTTCACTTGTTTTAAAATTTCCATCAAAATAGCTTTGTATTTTTTCTGCCAATTTCTTGCTATTATTTGCTCTTCTCTCTCTCTCTCTCTCTCTCTCTCTCTCTCTCTCTCTCTCTCTCTCTCTCTCTCTCTCTCCCCCTCTCCCTCTCCCTCTCCCTCTCCCTCTCCCTCTCTCCCTCTCCCTCTCTCTCTCTCACACACACACACACACCATTCACCCAAGGATCCTTGTTCATACTTTCCATTAGCATAACTCCACAAATACTTGGCATATTGTATAACATAATTACTCTGACCTTGATCCAAGCAACTTTCTGTTACATCTACTTTCCATTCATAGTATTGGAAATTTGATTCATGATCTAATACTTTTTCATACAGGATTTGTCCCTTTCCTTTCTGCAGTCCTTTAGCCTTTTTTCTAGTTTCCTTTTCTGCTTCTTCCTGCATGTTCCCAAGATCCAGTTTTGACACTAACAAAAATGGAGAGCCCTACATTCAGAACTTCTGATCACTTTGTATCCTTAACTAGTTCTCTCAGCCCTCCATCATAAATAATCTATTCAACCATCTATCTAGATGTACATTCCTTCTTTTTCTATATGTATATTTCTATATGTATTTTCTATATGCATCAACAAACTTTAGCTTTCATTTTGAATTTGGAACAAATAAAGCTTTTTCAAAGTAAATATACACGTACATTTATGTTTAAACCATATAATATATTCAAAATGAAGAGATTCTCTTTCATTCTTCTCCATATGGACCAATGACTTTTCTCCCCTAATCTCTCAACTCAGGCCCACCTTCCATTCATGTCATATAGCAGAATATTTTTCCTCAAAATTGTATTTGTTTTAAATATTGCAAATGTTTTTTCCATATACTGTACATATCTACTTTTTCATTATTACTACTCCTTGAAGGTCACATTCATCTTTTCAGCAATCTATGAATTCATTTTTGCATACATATCTCAAATAAATTTATAGTTCCTGCCATCACTTCTACCCTTTCATTTTTAATTAAACCTACATTTTCTAGCTCGTATTCATCAGTTCTATTCCATCAATACTACTCCAACTTGTATTCATCAATTCTACTCTGTCAATTCTACTCCAGCTCGTATTTAACAATTCTGCTGGTTTTGGTCAATTGGAGCTTTCAGATACTATAATGCTTTTTAATAAAACAAAGGAAGAGTAAGTTATCAGCCTTAATGGTTTGCAGTAACATTCTGTATAACATCTTGAACATAGAAAATAATTTGCCCCTAACTTTGGAGCTGATTTCCAAAATTATTCTACATTTCTCTTGAACTTAAAAAAAATATTGCTTTGCAAGGAAGTTATACAGAGCAAGTTTTAATTATCAAAATATTTTATATAGTATTTTTTGAGAATTTTCAATGATATATACACTATATTTACCATTTTTAATGCAGTGAAGCAAACTATTAAAGCCAATACCTTAAGAATATCTTTTCCACTTTTTAGCAGTTTTATTGCATAACTTATTTTTAAGGTGGAGAAAAATGATTAATGCAAGCCAATTATCAATGAAAACATTAAATACAAGTAAAAACATGATTCATCCATCATATTTGCTATTTTTGCTATTTCTGTTAAGTTGATTTTCCTCTTTGTCAGTCTTGGAATCAATTCTGTCAGTTTTGTTTTAAATGTTTAACTGAGTAAAATGTGGTGGATATAGATCATTACTGAGTAAAAAAGGATGATGGCTAATAAGACGTATGTTGTAGATATATTATATGTTAATATCACAGGGACATCTATGCCACCAATTAATCTTGGATTATGAGTAGCTCGTATTCAATGGCATAATAAAGTGCAAATTAAAATACTCTAGTTCTGATTGCACTGGCTTGTACCTAGGAAAGTCAAATACAGGGGAAATAGCAACTATAAAAATAAGCAGAATAGATTTAAGGAGGAAAAAGAGCAAGAGTTTTTTTGTTAAACTTTAAAATAGAAAAGCAATCTGTCCCAAAAATAGTAAGACAAGAAAATGAACTTCAGAAGAGTTTGGGAAGATATAAATCTCTGACGAATTGTGGCTGCAAGATACAGATTTAGATATACACTTTGCAAAAGAAAGGAAACAATTTATGTACTTATATTTTTTTATTTATTACATTTTTATCCCACCTTTATTATGTTATAGTAACACAAGGCAGTGATCATATCTAATACTCTTCTCCTCCTATATCCCTAGCAACAACCAAATGAACACAACCATCAATATATATCTGATAACAACAGTTGTGAATTGAGCTGGGCTGAGAGAGCGGTACCGGCCCAAATCACCTAGCTGGTTTTCATCCCTAAGGCAGAAATAGAACCCTTAGTCTCCTGGTTTCCTGGCCAGAATCTTAACCACCAGGCCAGACAAATGGATAAGGAAAAAGAAGAAAAGGAAGAGTTTATTTTAGGAAGAGAAAACTTAAGTTATCAAGTTAAGAAAGCTGAGTGTCAGCCCTGCGTCACCTTGCAAGTAAAAAAACAATCTTTGGCTCCATTTGTTGCAAAAGGTACAGTTTTAATAGAAGTCAAGAGAACTGCAGCAAAGCAAAGCCAGAACTGAAATTTGCATGCCCAATAATTCCCCAAGTGAAAATCTTTCCCCCTTAGGCACTTCCCATTGCTGCCCCCCATTGTCCAATCAATCTCCAAGAAGATGTTTTTGAAACGGCCACTCTGATTGTGTAGGCTGGCTCGCAGCTGTATTCTTCTCATCACGAGGTGACCTTGAAATACTGTCTCAGAGAGGCACCTTCACTTTTGTAACTTTCATTTCACCCCATCCCAAGCACTCCCCCCCACTTCTCTCTCTCTCACACACACACACCCAGGCTTCATGGCAGACCGGTACCAAAGGGCAGGCATGCAGGCATGAGGTGGCAATTCTGACACTAAGGCTTTTCTTCCCTTAGCATTTTGTCCAATTAGGATCCATCCCTTGCAAGCTGATAAGGAGAGAAGGGCAGTTGTGCGGTGGAAAGATTCCTGAGGATCAGTCAGCTGAGTGGCCAGCGTGGAGAAAGAGAATCTGGTGCTTTCATTGGTGAGAAAATTGCCCAGTGGATTGACTGGGAGAAAGCTCAAGGCTTGAGAAGATGAGAGGAGGAAAATTAGACTAGAGATTGGACCCTGAAGGAAGAATCAAGCAACCAGCAAGATAATGAGAAGAAAACATTATATACAACATTGTAGTGAGCATTTTGCCAAGGGAATTCATAAAGATGTCCTCTGCTTTTGGAGAGTGGAGTGGAGTGGAATGGGATGGGATGGGATGCATTCTATTCTATTTGACCATACCAACAAGCTAAAAAACAAGACAGATAAAGTCATAGGATATTTACATTATAAATCATCACCTCTA